GGGAAGAAAGTCTGTGAATCTTTTATAATCTGTTAGGATTTCAAAGCTCCCACGGTCTGACTCTGAGCCCAGAATTATTTGGGATTTTTTTTCCCCCTCAAAAATTTAGTTTGTTGCCATTGCAGCTTATTTTTGAACTTATCGGAAAAAATCCACTACGAATAATCATTTTTGTGATCCATGTGTTTTAAAGGTTATTCATGCCATACAATCATAATACCAGCCATGGGAAAACTGCTTTATTACTGTTGTTTTGTTAAAATGTCCATCACATTTTGTTTTAAACAGCTGTGGCAGTTCTCCAGCATTGTTTATTTTAGAGAATCAGTTTGTTCCAACAATTTATTTAAATGAGTCCCTGCACAAAACAAAACAAACATAAACATTTACGTAAATAGTGCTGTTTTTAAGTTAATTACTGTGAAATAATCTGTTTATTTGTCTACGTTTAATGCTGTCACACTAACTGAGACCCAATTTGGAGGCCTGTTTCAGTGGTTCTCTATTGTGGATGCCCCTTTTATTTAACACACCTTATTTACATAATCAGCTCATCAGTAGAGGCTTCAACATTAAAACTGGGTGTATAAAGGTGATAATGCAGGGGTGACATCCAAAATGAAGAGTGCTGTGTTCCTCCATGATCGGGATTAAGAAACACTGCCCTAATTGTGATTTAATTGCTTTCAATTATACTGTAAATTGTTTGCCATTTAGGAAGAAACAGTTTCCCCATACCACAATTACTTACAAAAGCCTCTGTCATGTCTCACAGTTTATCTATATTACAGTGTTTTTAAAGAAAGAAATAACTTTTATTTAGCAAGGAAACATTAAACGTTTCAGATGTGTCAGTGAAGACATTTTAATGTTAAAACACATTTCAATTTGAATAGATTCTGTCTATTTAGGTGTCTTAGGGTAGTTTCACAGATTTTTGTTTTGGAATCTGCCGTGTTTGCTCCATAGCTCAGTTCATTTGGGCATATGTGAACACTGCAATCGCTCTGTACAAAACAATTGGTCTGAGATCGCCTGAACGAGGTGGTCTTGGCTTGGTTGAAACAAACTCTGGTTCATATTTGGTGACTATGTCTGTGGGTTTCACCATTTAAAATTAAAAGTGCACCTTTTCGCTTATAATGTGTAATCGCTCACTGCCACTGTTGCCTCACAGAAAGAAGGTTGCTGGTCCGAGCCCCAGCTGGGTCAGTTGACATTTCTGTGTGGAGTTTGCATGTTCTCCTCATGTTGGCTCTGGTTTCCCCCACACTCCAACGGCATGCGCTACAGGTGAATTGGGTAAGCTTAATTGTTCATAGTGTATGTGTGTGAATGTGAGAGTTTATGGGTGTTTCCCAGTGCTGGGTTGCAGCTGGAAGGGTAAAACATATGCTGGATAAGTTGGTGGCTCATTCCGCTGTGGCGACCCCTGATGAAGGGAATGATTGAATGATAGCTGAGGGGTATCCCGGAAAATAAACCGTGGAACTTTGATTAATGTGAACAGTGTTTACTCACATATGACAATGTTAGCCTGTTTAGAAACATTGCTGTGTGAAAGTGAACTGCACCAAGAACAAAAAAGCAACATTAGAATGATTTTATTACCTGTTTCGTAATAAAACGATGGATCTTCAAATGTGAAAGCACCATTATAATTCTGCATACATCGTTTACCCTTTTGGTAAAAAATGACTGCCTTCACTAAACCTTTAAAACAAAGCAACTAAATTTTGTCCCAATCAAAAAAGTTTTTAGCAAAATGGTATTCTTAAAACTTAAAGCAGCAGATTCTTATTTTGTGTTTGTTTGTGGTGTAAGAAAATGATTTTAAAGCTGGCTGGTCAAAATTGATCCGAAGGACAACTGTTGTATCCTAAATGTGTACAAGCTTCATTAAAATGTGAAAATAGAAAATGTTAAAATGGTCATTTTTGACTTATAAGTCAACTGAATGGTTTATCGAACTAAATCAAAATGACATTTTCCCTCTTTTAAAACTTTGTTGAACAATATTCCTTGAGCTTCAGTCCAGCATATAGTTCAAAGATTTCCAAAGGATCATGACTACTTCATCAGTGACACTAAACACTGGAGTTATGATGCTGAAAATTTGCTTTGACATCACAAAAATCAATTACCCTTAAATATATATGTAAATATTTCATAATATTGTTGTGTTACAATATTTTAATCATAGTGAGCATGATCTTTAAAAAAAAATACCTTAAAAAAAGACCTTAAACATTTGAACCATGCTAAACTATGTAGGGAACTAGATTTTATAGTAAAGAAATTTGACTGTGGTCACAACATCTGACAGAAGAGTCTTTGTTAATGCCAATTTATAACATTCTATCATCTCAGAACCTATTGCAAAAAAAAAAAAAAAAGAAAAAAAGTCAGTGGAAATATAATTAATCTCAACATATTTGCCACATGCCTTTCTTTGCCTTGAGCCAGTTCAATTCCTTCTCTGTATCTTTCCCCCCTGCAAGTTCTAAACTCTCTCTGCTTACCAGAGAAATGCCATTCAGATTCAGTCTCAAGGATAGAACGGATCAATAGAGCTTACATGTCTCTCTCGCTCTCCAGCACAGAGGAGTCGGAACTGTGCAGCTTTCAAACGCAATCCACACGTTCCTTTCTCATTTCTCCTCTGAGGATTAAATGGTAACAGGCCCAGCCAAACACTCTCTTCTCTTTGGCAAAACATACATGGAATTCCTCTCACGTGTATGTGTACACAAACACACGTTCCTGTAATCATGCAGAAATGTCCATCCTAATCAGAATGGCTTGTGAATTCTCATCACGTGCAGTGTTGCGGAAGGTTACTGTTAAATGTAATGCATTAAAATTTTGTATTTCTTCCTAAAAAAACTAAATAGACATGACCCTGGACCACAAAACCATTCTAAATATTTGTACATTTAGACATCATTTGAAAGCTGAATAAATTAATTTCCACTGATGCATAGTTGTTTGGATAGGACAATATTTGGCTGAATTTTGAAATCTGAGGGTTATAAAAAACAAAACACAGAAAACAAACAAAAAATGCTTTAGTTTAGGGAATAAAGGATTCATAAAAATAAACAACAAAATCATAAGTTAAGGGCACTTGAGAAGTAAAAAAAATGAAAAAGCCCGTTTTAACATGGCTATTATATATATATATATGTATGTATATATATATATATATATATATATATATATATATATATATTATTTGAATACTCAGTGTCACATGACTTAATTAAATATCTAAACAATACAGAAAATAATATATCCAACACAATAAAGACAACTCAACAGTAATTATCAATATAGTAATGGACGAAATAAAAAATGGAGAACATCATTATAAAGTTGTGCAAATTAATTTATTAGCAATATTACTAACCAAAAGTTCAATTTGTATAAATTTATGGAAGAAAAAAACATGTCTTGATGGAAGATGAACTTTACCAAATATTGTAAAATTGTAAAAATCATCATATTAACAATGTACTGTATTTTTGGTTATTCTCACAATGAAGGCTCACACATTATGTGCTACATTACTTTTGAGCGTCTTTTCGTCATCTGGGTTGGACTGACAAATGTACACAAAAAGTGATATGTGAAGTAGCGCTACTCAATATTGATAAAAACATACATTGTCATATTTTGTTTTTCTGCGAAATACATTTCGGTATAAACATAAATTCACATAGGATAACCTAAATTACTCTACTTGGAAATAATTCCTACATCTGCATAAAACACAATAAACATTTTGCAAGCATAGTGTTTTATGGTTTTCTATAAAGTCCAACGGTATTTAAGAACATAAACAATATTAATCAAATGTAAAATAACACTGAATTGTCTTTTTGGTATAAATAACGCATTCATTCATTCATTTTCTTGTCGGCGTAGTCCCTTTATTAATCCAGGGTTGCCACAGCGGAATGAACTGCCAACTTATCTAGCACATTTTTACGCAGTGGATGCCCTTCCAGCTGCAACCCATCTCTGGAAAACATCCACACACATTTACACACACACACTCATACACTACGGACAATTTAGCTTATTCAATTCACCTGTACTGCATGTCTTTGGACTGTGGGGGAAACCGGAGTACCCGGAAGGAAACCCATGCAAACGCAGGGAGAACATGCAAACTCCACACAGAAACGCCAACTTAGCCGAGGATCGACCCAGCAACCTTCTTGCTGTGAGGCGACAGCACTACCTACTGTGCCACTGCGTCGCCCACGGTATAAATAATAAAATGATAATAATCTTGGTTAAATCTGTAAACTTTAGAATTTCTTGGTTTAAATTCGCTAGATATCTTGAAAATCTTTCACTCTATCAGGGTTGAACTTTGTGATGGCTCCATAAATCACATTTAGAAATGTGGTTTTTGGTGATTCACACATTGTGAAATGGATGCTGAAACAATATATTGTGCAGTCGTAATGTGAACTAAGGCTGAACTTACACTATGTACAGTTGCCTTGAACCGTCTTTAATAGACTGAGAGATTTCATTCATTGAACAGTAGGAATAATTAATAAATCCGTATCAAACAGTCCCTTAAAAGTCACGTCTCGCTTTCAGTTTCGGACTCAGGTACGTTTTGCACTCACACACAAGCGCACCACGCCAAAGCCCAAGTGAACCATGCTCAGACCACTCACACTTCTCAAACGATCCGGGAAATGGGCTTTGGCATGGTTCGGATAGCATAGTGTGATTAGGCCCTAAATAAACCAAAAAAGTACCAATGGGTGCTGTAATTTTTAAATCTTTATTTGTTCCACTAACATGTGAGCCCTGTTGAGCAGGTCCTTGAACTCCGCTGATTGGCCAGAGTGTTGCGAATCTGTAATCACAATCATCAATCAGTAATAAAATAAACATTACTTGAAAAAAGTAGTTTGATTACGTAACTTATGTTACTTGTATTGCGTTATACTCATAACGTGTGTTTTTCTCCACAGAATAGGGGTGCAGAAGGAAGGTCAGTTGTGGTGCAGGAGCGCAGGCTGCTGGTTGGGGTTCATAATGGCTGGGGTTGGGTGGAGAAGCCTCAAGTTTTGGTGCTGGAACGTGATTCTGGAGGAACTGAAGCAGCCAAGGCTCGTGGATCCAGCTTCAGGCAGACCTCCACAGACAAACTCAGGTGCGTAGTCTGTCCATCTGGCACAGTCATTTCCTATAATTCTCAGAAATATTGCACACTTCAACGTCCTGGATCTCTAATGATCTGTTTGTCTTTGCAGCTGCATTCAATTATAATAGTCAGAATTCACATGCTGCTGTCTATAAAGAGATCATTTATTGATTTGCGTTCCCCTGGCTTGTATTGGATGTTCTCATAATCCATTTATTTCCCCTATGTTCTTTCAAACTTGCATTGATTTTCTTTAAAAGGATCTCAAAATATATTTTTGAGGGATGTTGATTTTGCTTTTCCTCACACAATAAAACAATGACCAGGCCCTGTCAGCCACCAAAATGGACATAAATCACAGTAATCAAGAGGTGTGCACATAATGTTTTGCCAGCATATGTGAAGCAGGCCAGTGTTAATAAATCATTGTATATATTATTACCTTTATTTTCAGAATCCATGACTTTAGTGTCTAATGATCCTTTACAAACCTTATTTAACCTTATTGTCAGTGTTGCAAACATGTGAAACTGGCATTTTATATAAATTAATGCATCATTACTGAGTTAAATTATTATTTTCTTCTTCAGAAAAGAACTAATCTCTGTGTATGCAAACAACTCAATGTCTTTTTTTCTTGTTAGGGTCTTTAATTATAGTTTTAAATTCATTAAATGTTACATCCATTGCAAAATATTAATGTATTCTTTAGATTTTTTTTTTTTCATTGCAAACATCTAAGCATTGCTAAAAAAAAGAAACATTTTCTTAGATGCAAAATAAAGAAATTTAATCTAGCTGTCTGAGAAATTAAGGACAAAATTACAAACAAAACAAAATTAAGAGAGAAATAAACAGTTGTGTATAAAATTCTTAATAACTTACTTAACTTTTTTAATGATGATAAATAGTAAAATGAAGGAAAAAGTAATGGAGATCACTTCAAAGCTATAATTTAAACTTTGAAGTTTTGCTTATTCAACTTATGGTCTGCTCCCTGTTAGTTTAGATTTAGAGAACATACTACAATCCCTTTAAACTCTTCATGTTTTCTTTGCTTGTTCTTCAGAAGATCTTTAAAAGTCTCACATTTCGATTCATAAACCTGCTGAGTTCCTGACCCATATTTAGCTATTTTATTAATGCTACTTTAATATTTTGATGTATATAAATCTGATTTATTATTAGATTTAGTCATTTTTGTCCAGTAAGTGCAGTGTTCATTGTAAACACATAATGGGCCCGTTTCAGAAAGGAAATTATGTGTTAACTCTGAGTATGTTAATGGCGGCACAGGGCGCAGTTGGTAGCGCTGTTGCCTCACAGCAAGGTCACTGGTTCAAGCCTCGGCTGGGTGGGTTTGCATTTTCTGCCCATGTTGACATGGGTTTCCTCCGGGTGCTCCGGTTTCCCCCTCAAGTCCAAAGACATGCGCTATAGGTGAATTGTGTAAACTACATTCTCCTTAGTGTATGTGTGTGAATAAGATTGTTTCAGTGTTTTCTAGTACTGGGTTGCAGCTGGAAGGGCATCCACTGCTTTTTACAGTAATTCAATCCATAAATAAAACTTGTATCAGAACTGCAGCAATGTTTTGTTAGTTTCTCATCCTTTAAGAAAACGGTTGATGGTCGCCTAACAACGACACAGGAGCACGACTACAAACCATGTTAAAAAAAGCTATGCTAAAGAAAGCGACGTACCTTGCTGTAGATTAAACAGATATAAGAATTCCTTTTATCAAATGATCATTAGCTATTAAATAATAGGGGTGGCTTAGACTGAAAGTGAGTTAGATTTTTTTATTGAAATACTTAATGGCTTTTTGTGTGTTGTATTGTTTTTCCATGTTTGTGATGACTGCAGCTGAGGGCAAGAGCCCAGGACAAATTTCCATAACTGGGTCAATAAAGTTTTACCTTACCTTACCTCAGGCTTTCCACATGCTTCTAAATGCAAAGTATTTGCACTTACAAATTATCTGGTTCTGAGATACATCAACCTTCCTCTATCCAAAGTAATTCCAGACCAAAGTTGTTGACTTTTTTTGGCACCAAATCCTAATGTGCTGAACACACCCATCACTGTATAGACCAGGCGTGACCAACCCTGTACCTGGAGATCTACCTTCCTGCAGATTTCAGTTGCAACCCATATCAAACACACCTGCCTGTAATTATCAAGTGCTGTTCAGGTCCTAATTAATTGGTTCAGGTGAGTTTGATCAGGGTTGGAGCTGAACTTTGTAGGAAGGTCTATCTCCAGGATCAGGGTTGAGCACCACTCGTATGGACCATTTTAATGTGGCTATGTCACTAGCCCATAAACATTTCCTGCTTGTTACCGAACTATTTTATAACTGTAACAAGAGGCAATTTAATTTATCTTAATGTTAAAACGGCTGCTATAACATAGTTTATCAATGTGTGGACCTTTTTAGATTATTGGAAGCTATGGAAATTCAACATGTAATACAGGAAATACATCTCAAATGTAATGTAATACAGGAAATACGTCTCCTGTTCTCGTACTCTGTTTAGGTACGCTGCATTATGTTCAAATCAAATGAAGCGCACAGCCCCAGATGTAAGATCCTGATGACCATTAAATGTGTCCTAACAGTGTTGTTAAAAGGGTCGATATATTGTTGGTTAAACCTCATAAAAAAACTGTAAATAGAAACTGAGAATGGGTTGAACCATCTTTACTAAAACAGGCTCCAGGATTGAGATTTTTCAAAACCTCTTAATTTTTATCCCAAACGAGACCAAAAGCACTTCAGTTTTAAAACAATATAAGTGTGCATAAATGTGCTGAATATTATAATTTTTTTAAGTAAACACTCTTTTGTCAGAGAGTTCCAGTGTCTCTCCATGATCTACTCTATAATTCTCCATCTGCACTGTTTCACTGACTTTTAACTCTCAGACTCACACCGGTTCTTCTCCCTAGTGCTTATCCAGCAGACCCCTGTATCCTCACCGCACCTCCTTGCTTTTCATCTCACTTCCATCTCTTATTCAACACAGTCCTTATCAAAAATGGATTTTTAGGGTGATTTACAATTTCTCTCTGGATGTTAAATATTTTAAAAGCGTCCTTTTTTCCTCCCCAGAAAGTATTAAAAAACTGTCCCACATTCTAAATTAAGATTTCCCGCTCTTTGTTTAATTAAAACATAGATAAGCTCTGCAAGTTCAGTTTGATTGTCGATGCCCGCTTCTCTCCATCTGCTGGAGTCACTGCCATGTAAGATCTTACAGAACAAGTCACAAGCATCATTCGTTTGCGGTGAGAAAACGAAATCTATAATTACCCAATGAGAGAAATTAGGTGTCTGAGAAGAGTGGAGCATCGCATTCTGCCCTTTATAAGAGGGAGAAATTGGATGTAATTATGGAGATGTTAGCTCTAAAAAAACTTGTGCTGCACGTTCCCGACAACACTGCTGGGGTGACGGCAGCAAAGGCGTCTATGAGAGTGTGTGAAAACCAGTCAGGAATGATGCAAACGATCTGACGCCTGCCTGCCAGTTTCTAGATGAGAGTTTGACATGAAACACGTGCCTGGAATTTCAACACCTTGTAGTAATACTGTCTGAACTAACTTTTTTGGGAGATGGGGTTTAATTTCATAGCTTTTTTTCATATAATTTTTGGTAAAAGTGATAGCAACTTAATTTTGCAGTTTGAATTTTTTTGTACTGTGCTGTGGATTTATCTTTTTTTCTGTGCTTGCTTATGTAAAAAGCTGTAATATTCTAATTGGCTTGAATCAAGCTTTAAAGGCAAAAACATGATGACTAAAGACTCTGTCATAGCAAAAACAAAACAAAGAAAGTCATTATAAAAAATAATTGTAATTATTACAGCAGCACACGATGTTAGCATGATAATAGGTGCACACGATTTAAGAGCGACAACTTCTATCTTGAAACTTTGTGTTCTTTCTCGTTTAGCTTTGTGTGCATTTCCAAAGCCCATTTAGAAAATGAATGTGGCAGACCTGCTGTCTATGTACTCTAGCATCAGATTTATTAGAGTTTTAATAATTACATATACTTCCATTCAAAAACGCAAGTCTGGCAATTTTTTTAAAGGTGTTTTGAAGAAAGTCTGTAATGCTTACCAAGGCTGCATTTGATCTGTTATTATTTAATTGTTTTATATTTTGATATCTAATTCCTATTTATTTTTGCTAATAAAAATCATTATAATTGTTGAAAACACAGAAGCCTAGTATTTTTGTAAAAACTGTAATATATCATAAATTATCAAATATTATATAGTATATTTATATATGAATATCAATGATGAAACTTTAAAATCATTTATGTAAATTAATAAAATTAAAAATGAAAAAATAAATATATATATTAGAGAATGAATGTTAAATCATATTGCATTACATTATATTAAATGTCTGTAAAAAATCTGAATTGTGTAATTGTTGAAATTATTTATTTCTATATTTATAATTATATATTTGAATATTTATTTACTATTATTTTTTTTGCTCTAAATATTCTTCAGTGAGTGCTTATTGTTATGTTTATGCTGTCCTTTTTGCATATTTTTGTAATGTGTTTTACAATGTATAAATAAAACATCAAACAAAAGTCTGAAAAAACTTGAAAACTATTTTAGCGTTTTTCTTTTGCTTCACATATTACACTATTGTTTATCAATTAAATGTATAAATTAACTCTTTATAATAAAAATAAAAATACATATATTATATTATATTATATTATATTATATTATATATTTTATATTTTATATTATATTATATTATATTATATTATTAAAAATAACAATGAAAAAAAATTTTTTTCAGATACTTTTAACAATAAGCAGCTCAAAAACTAATGGGAATCCTGTATATGGCTGTATTTAGCAGTGCAATGTGGGATTGATGCTGTGCTTTCCAATCTCAGAACACAGCAAACTGTGACACCTCTGTTAATGAATGTCACTTGACTAGTGTTTTTGGGTCAGTGTGGGTGTGTAGGTTCATTACACAAGATTCCATGCTGAGCTCTGATATTTCGGTGATCTCACACTCTTCTTTCTCCCTCCAGCAGTGATGGACTGTCTCTTCGTGGCGGTGTGCAGCTGAAGCTGATGAGGGACGTGGATTTCAGCATTGTCTTCCAGCTCCAGTATGTTTTCTCATGTCCACTGGCTGTTGATGGGCAGGTGAGTCATATGCTAATAATGCACCTCTCAAAATGTCTTTCCCGGCTTCACTCAAGTGAACACGATATGAAGAGTGAATATCTTGTTTAATGGTATCTCTTTTTTTTTTTGCCCTTCAAAATTTATATTTCAGAAATTTTGCTAATAATGCACCTCTCAAAATGTCTTTCCCGGCTTCACTCAAGTGAACACGATATGAAGAGTGAATATCTTGTTTAATGGTATCTCTTTTTTTTTTTGCCCTTCAAAATTTATATTTCAGAAATTTTGCTTATGAAGCGATTCCAAAAATAATTTTGAGGACCAGACTGTTTACTTGTGTTTACCTGCAGTCTGCAGGCACAGATTCACTTCCAGCTGTTGAAATGTGTGGGAAGAAGTTACATTAGATTGATCAACCCACTCTGAAATATAGAGCATGGTATTTCGTTTTTAGACCCCCGGCTCTCACCTTGGTATGCGTGAAAATTCCAGCCAGGATTTTGGGGATGGCCTTACATCATTTAGGGACAATAAAAGTTTTTTATTAATTTATTTTTTCTAGACTTGTCTTTAGGGAACTGCACGAATAAACCCTAAGGTTGGTGTATTACGCAATATGAATATAGTAGCCATTACTTTGCTTTCATGACAAGTTCATCATAATATAACACAGAGGTTAAACAATTTTTTTCAGCCTGCTAATGTGATGAGTTGTTATTAGAAGAGACCAGGAAGGGTGTTGGGGTGTGATTAGTAAGTTTCTGTTTCTTCCCTAGCAGTATATTTGGTAGGAAACATTAGGATGTGGCTTTGTTTTTGGACGTAAACATTTTGGCTCAGTTTCACAGACAAGGCTTAGCTTAAGCCAGGGCTAGGCCTTATTTAAGTGAATGTTTTTAAGCAGCTTTCATAAAAATTTACTTGTACAAACACAATACTTGTGTGCATCTTGGATCAAAACAATGACCAGTGTATTTTAAGATATTTCACTTCTAGTTATTTTCAGTTAAGACAACTCAAGTTTAATCTAGACTTGTCCTAATTCTTGTCTGTGAAACTGGGTCTATATGGAGCAGTCAAGGCTGAAGTGAATATTGTTGGTGTCTCTACAAGGAATGATTACAGTACAATAAAAGTAAACTTTAAGTCATTGAAAACAATCTGCATACACGTGTTTGCAATGTTGATAATAGCCAGACTGTTTTGGCAAGACAACTGGCTCTACATAGCTACTGCAATTGAAAGAGTTGCTTTTGGGCATCGGTGATGAGAATTTACCAATGGTAGTCCAAAGGCTGGTTTATACGCCACGCATCCGAAAGTTTGTGTTTGGGAGCACATGACATCATTTTGGCTGTTGGTGAGCACACTTTTTTTGTAACGTTTTGGAGCTGAATCTGGCCGAGCTGGGGGAGTTTGTATGTGCAACACCTAGAAATCCAAAACAACCGCTTGATGTGAAGTGCTTGAGGTTTCTTTTGAAGCTCTGAGGAAAAACAAGGCATATATTTAGTGCAATGGTTGTCCAGGGCTTTTTAAGGAAATAATTGTTTATTTATATATTAGAAATGCAACGATTGCAGATTTTGGTTGTACCTTTGTCACAGGTTCACGGTTATCATGATTATTATGCATTCATTAATTTCAAAACACTACTAGTTTAGTATTACTAGTCACATGAAAACTCTTTATATTACTCCTCATATTGCTACTCAGTAATTAATTAATACAGCGCATAATAATAATTAAAAAAACAAAGAATAGTCAAATTTTTTTTTTTGGACTCTGGAAAATAAGTTAAAAAAGTTTTGGACATTTAAAAATAAATAATAATTTTACACTCAAAATAAATGACAGAACAACAAATAAATAAACTAATTAAATATTAATATAATTGTATGTATTATAAAATATTAATATTATTAAATAAAATTATTTGTCTTATGTGAATTTAAGCTACATATTAGCTAATATCAAATATAGTCATGGCTGCTGAACCTCTGTCTGAAAGGCACTTTTTATAAACTATATTACAAAATAGTTTTTGTCATGTGACTTGCGGTGCGCTCTCGGCATTCTTTCAACTAGATGTGTCTGGAAAGCGCGAGTGCGTTACACCCAATATGTGCAAGTAACCGCATGCCTCCATTAGAAATAACCAACTTGCATGGGCAAATGACGCAGTATGTGAACGGCCTTTAGTTTATAGCATCAGCCACAGTTAATCCAGTGTGCATGCATATTAGCCTTGGTGTACAAGCTCTGAACTTAACTATTGCACAGTTGGCATAGCTTTGTTTAGTTGCAGTAGTTTTGTTCCATGCAGAAACACAGTGTTGAGAAGCCTTCACGATTAATTAACCGTGATGAATTAAAGTTCAGTTAACAGTGAAATCAGTTAATCGTTGCATCCCTAATTTATATTGTATACATTTTTTTTTCATTAATCATGCAGTTAGCTGGTATATATAAAATGTAACCTAAGTCACCATTTTACCAACTATACTAAAAGCAAACATTTTCATGACTGTCCTCCAAAATTATCCACAACTTATTTATTTTATATATACACTGTGTAGTTAAATTCATTCATTCATTCATTCATTCCTTCATTCATTTTTACTAATCTTTCATCATGACAGTTTTTCCGAGTTGCTCATTGTTGTTACAAATAATAGTACAATGTTAAGCATGTGAGGTATTATAGCCTTCACAACTCCTGGAGTGGAGGCTTGCGCTGCACAGCCAGGCAAAAGTATAAATAAGCCTTAAGGACGGACAAACCACAAACCAATGGCAGAATGTTGGAAGCCTAAAGCTCACTGTACAAATACATTGAAGGTTAAACTGCCTCAAAGTTCTATTGTGGCACAAAGCACACAAAGTTTTAATGATGGGGATGGGAGAAATGTGTCACAATACACAGTGCATTGCACCAATTGCTCACAGTACCTATGATGACCCCTGTCCACAGTCAAAAGCTCTGGACAGTGTTCTGCTGGGAAACCTTGTGTCCATGATGCGGGCATACATTTGTCAGATACTACCTGCCTAAACACTGCTGCAGCCTGCCAAGCTGCACACATTGTCCAGGAATGGTTAGGAGAACATGTTGAGGAGTTCAAGGTGTTGCTCCGGCCTCCAAATACCCCACATCTCAGTCCAAATGAGCATCTGTGGGATGTGCTGGACCAGCATGTTTGATCCACTGTGCCTTGGTGGATACTAGGCTTGAAAGGTCTGCTGGTAATGTCCAGGAGCCGGATAAACAGGACACCTTCAGGGTTCTTGTAGAGTCAGTGTCCCAGTTGGTTCGCATTGTTTTTGCTGCACATTGAGGACCAACAGCATATTATTTGGCAGGTGATCATAATGTTATTTTGGCAGGTATCTAGGGGGTGGTTTAACTGGTCATTTCATTCATTTTTTCAGATTGGCTATCCGATTGTGAAAAGGGCAAGTGTAAATGCTCCCCTAAATGCATTAGGAATCCATTTGCTCAAACCACTTCAGGAGGTGGTCTGTGACACATTACAAATGAAAATGGACATGTCCAAATGTATCTTTGTTGAAACTACTTTTGTTAATTTTATATCTACTAAAATGTAAACAAACAAAAGTGTGTGCATGTTATATTCTATATAGCACTCACATATAATGCACTAATGCAACATGCAATGCAATGCCATAGATCAGTGGTCCTCAATCACTGGGCTGTACCGGTCCATGGATCAACTGGTACCAGACAGCACAAGAAATCCTTAATTAGTTCTGTTTTATTTATTATCTGAGTCTAAACTATCTTTTATTTTGATTGCATTGTGGTCACTTGAGCACCAAAATTTAACACACAAGCAGAAAAATAAGTTAGAAACGGCCATCTTTGAAAAGTTTCTTTGCTAAGGAGAAAAGGCCCAGCGAATGGATCCGCAGCCCATTTGTCAACAAATCAGGTGAATCCACCATGTTTTGGTTGCAAGAAGAAGATCAACTGCTGGAGATCGCAAAAAACGGTGGCCTTTTCGCATATCGCAGATTTTCTAGAGTTTGCACAAGTTTGTTTTTTCCAATGGAGGTGCACACAAGCGACGTGACGCGCTCACCCCCTCCAGACCCACACAGTTGAATAAATTCCAGGAGTGCACCACGAGTCATGTGACAAGAACTGACTGATCAGCTTCAGCTTGCATGGAACATATACACATATACACATTTCAACAATCAAATCAATTACAGTTTTGAAAGATGGCTTGAATTTATCTTATAATGACAGTAATCAGTGATGCAGTGATGCAGTAGGTAGTGCTGTCACCTCACAGCAAAAAGGTAGCTTGTTTGAGCCTCAGCTGGGTCAGTTGGTGTTTCTGTGTGGAGTTTGCATGTTCTCTCTGCGTTCGTGTGGGTTTCCTCCAGGTGCCCTGGTTTCCCCCATCGTCCAAAGACATGCAGTACAGGTGAATTGGGTAGGTTAAATTGTCCATAGTGTATGAGTGTGAATGAGTGTGTATGGATGTTTCCCAAAAAAAAAAATGCTGGATAAGTTGGCGGTTCATTTCGCTGTGGCGACCCCAGATTAATAAAGAGACTAACCCAAAAAGAAAATAAATGAATGAATGAATGACAATAATCACAGAGCCTATATGAAATCATTTGTATGCAGAATAATATGTACTGTATAGCATACGTTTCTATAAAAATAATAGTAATAATAATGAAATGAAATATGGTGTATCTCATGCTTTAGTTAAGTCAACCTAGTTACATTTGCATAAGGGCGGACGCAGCCATTTGAATCTTTTTGGCTCGAGATTTCCGGTCTCATTCACTTCCATTAAAAACAGCTCGTTTTGCTACTTGATGTTGCAAACTGATAACTTCTTATTATATTATTCTACTTTGTTTGTATAGTGATGCAAGTTGTTTGACCGTTTTCTGCCGTTTATTATTCCTAGCCATTTCTCCCATAGGCAACTGAATCGGAAGTTCTAAAACAATGGCAAAAATGAGCGCACACCCAC